TGGAATCATCATGTACTTCTCGCCTCATACTATGCTGGTGCGGATGTCTCACCGACTTCATTTTCACTTTCCAATAGCGCCAAAAAATTGTTTATCGCTCTGTATGTTGGGTCCTTAACCTCACTTCCGAAAGCCATTTGAGATGAATTTCCGGTCACATTTCTTGATGACTTAGGAACATCGGATATGTTATGCATCTCAACAAATAACTCAATAACAACAATATTTATTGACTTTGTATTCCAATCATTGTTCCAAAATCATCATATTCTTCAACTGGTACTGCAATATATCTAACTAGATTGGGACATACCATAAATATGCACCTCAAACCATCAATGATAGCTCAAATTTTTCTTTCTATCATATGCTTCATTTCTACAAATGTGATGTTCCTATTGAACATAATATTTACATGTCTTTCAGAATGAAAAACAACTTCGATGTCATTTTTTATAATATATCCATTATAATGGACAATCGTGAAATTTTTTTGCTTATGTTCTCTACAATTTAAAAAAAAAAATAGAATAAAATAAACACATACATATACTATGATAAAAATTACTGATCGTAAAATACTTCAAATAAAAATTCTTCACACTTACTTGATCGTATCTTCTAACACCTTGATTTGGATGAAAAATATTTCGGTCACTCTTCCTCTGTCAATTGCTTTCCCTTTCAAGCTCCTTCAATTGCTTCCTCTATAACCAATTCTCATACAAATATACAGTTGAGAATTATTTTTTATATTAAAAATATATTATATCAATTCTGCAGGAATCAAATCTTATAAAATCAAATATATTATACGGTGTTGAAACTTCATCTATGGCCAAATCAGGTACACTACCACCACAAAAATTGTCATTGTCATCCAAAATTGGTTCATTGGTTTCTTCATCTTCGCTGGAATCATCATGTACTTCTCGCCTCATACTATGCTGGTGCGGATGTCCCACCGACTTCATTTTCACTTTCCAATAGCGCCATAAAATTGTTTATCGCTCTGTATGTTGGGTCCTTAACCTCACTTCCGAAAGCCATTTGAGATGAATTTCCGGTCACATTTCTTGATGACTTAAGAACATCGGATATGTTATGCATCTCAACAAATAACTCAATAACAACAATATTTATTGACTTTGTATTCCAATCATTGTTCCAAAATCATCATCTTCTTCAACTGGTACTGCAACATATCTAACTAGATTGGGACATACCATAAATATGCACCTCAAACCATCAATGATAGCTCAAATTTTTCTTTCTATCATATGCTTCATTTCTACAAATGTGATGTTCCTATTGAACATAATATTTACAAGTCTTTCAGAATGAAAAACAACTTTGATGTCATTTTTTATAATATATCCATTATAATGGACAATCGTGAATTTTTTTTTATTTATGTTCTCTACAATTTAAAAAAAAAATAGAATAAAATAAACACATACATATACTATGATAAAAATTACTGATCGTAAAATACTTCAAATAAAAATTCTTCACACTTACTTGATCGTATCTTCTAACACCTTGATTTGGATGAAAAATATTTCGGTCACTCTTCCTCTGTCAATTGCTTTCCCTTTCAAGCTCCTTCAATTGCTTCCTCTATAACCAATTCTCATACAAATATACAGTTGAGAATTATTTTTTATATTAAAAATATATTATATCAATTCTGCAGGAATCAAATCTTATAAAATCAAATATATTATACGGTGTTGAAACTTCATCTATGGCCAAATCAGGTACACTACCACCACAAAAATTGTCATTGTCATCCAAAATTGGTTCATTGGTTTCTTCATCTTCGCTGGAATCATCATGTACTTCTCGCCTCATACTATGCTGGTGCGGATGTCCCACCGACTTCATTTTCACTTTCCAATAGCGCCATAAAATTGTTTATCGCTCTATATGTTGGGTCCTTAACCTCACTTCCGAAAGCCATTTGAGATGAATTTCCGGTCACATTTCTTGATGACTTAAGAACATCGGATATGTTATGCATCACATTTCTTGATGACTTAATAACATCGGATAGGTTATGCATCTCAACAAATAACTCAATAACAACAATATTTATTGACTTTGTATTCCAATCATTGTTCCAAAATCATCATCTTCTTCAATTGGTACTGCAACATATCTAACTAGATTGGGACATACCATAAATATGCACCTCAAACCATCAATGATAGCTCAAATTTTTCTTTCTATCATATGCTTCATTTCTACAAATGTGATGTTCTTATTGAACATAATATTTACAAGTCTTTCAGAATGAAAAACAACTTCGATGTCATTTTTTATAATATATCCATTATAATGGACAATCGTGAAATTTTTTTTGCTTATGTTCTCTACAATTTAAAAAGAATTAGAATAAAATAAACACATACATATACTATGATAAAAATTACTGATCGTAAAATACTTCAAATAAAAATTCTTCACACTTACTTGATCGTATCTTCTAACACCTTGATTTGGATGAAAAATATTTCGGCCACTCTTCCTCTGTCAATTGCTTTCCCTTTCAAGCTACTTCAATTGCTTCCTCTATAACCAATTCTCATACAAATATACAGTTGAGAATTATTTTTTATATTAAAATATATTATATCAATTCTGCAGGAATCAAATCTTATAAAATCAAATATATTATACGGTGCTGAAACTTCATCTATGGCCAAATCAGGTACACTACCACCACAAAAATTGTCATTGTCATCCAAAATTGGTTCATTGGTTTCTTTATCTTCGCTGGAATCATCATGTACTTCTCGCGACTTCATTTTCACTTTCCAATAGCACCATAAAATTGTTTATCGCTCTGTATGTTGGGTCCTTAACCTCACTTCCGAAAGCCATTTGAGATGAATTTCCGGTCACATTTCTTGATGACTTAGGAACATCGGATATGTTATGCATCTCAACAAATAACTCAATAACAACAATATTTATTGACTTTGTATTCCAATCATTGTTCCAAAATCATCATCTTCTTCAACTGGTACTGCAACATATCTAACTAGATTGGGACATACCATAAATATGCACCTCAAACCATCAATGATAGCTCAAATTTTTCTTTCTATCATATGCTTCATTTCTACAAATGTGATGTTCCTATTGAACATAATATTTACAAGTCTTTCAGAATGAAAAACAACTTCGATGTCATTTTTTATAATATATCCATTATAATGGACAATCGTGAATTTTTTTTATTTATGTTCTCTACAATTAAAAAAAAAATAGAATAAAATAAACACATACATATACTATGATAAAAATTACTGATCGTAAAATACTTCAAATAAAAGTTCTTCACACTTACTTGATCGTATCTTCTAACACCTTGATTTGGATGAAAAATATTTCGGTCACTCTTCCTCTGTCAATTGCTTTCCCTTTCAAGCTCCTTCAATTGCTTCCTCTATAACCAATTCTCATACAAATATACAGTTGAGAATTATTTTTTATATTAAAAATATATTATATCAATTCTGCAGGAATCAAATCTTATAAAATCAATCTAATCCCATACCCTGCTCGTCTACTGCCTAATATACTCCCATGACGTGCACTGCCATGCCTAATCTTATCAAGTTTATTTTCAGTCCCAGGGTTAGCAAGGTTAGAAGAAATGGGCCAGGGTTGGAAGGGGGAGACGCATTGTCGTCCACTCGTCTCCCCGTTTATGGCTCGGATGCAGGGAGTGCATGGCGTCTCCGCCTCGAACACATAGAGTGCATGGCGTCTTCAACATTCACCGTAGCATTCGCATTATTTCGCGAAATATTTTGGAAAGTGGGTTATTTTACAAAATAAAAAAAGTAAACTGCATTATCTTAAAAAAAATTCCCTTTTAACTGTATTAAAAATTAAATGAATTATCATTTAAAAAAATTAAGATGTGCACTATTAATAAAACAAATAAATAATATAAGAAAATTCAATTTCAAAATGGGTACATGGACAACACCTACGTCTGTCTCTGTCAAAGACAACATTTCATCAAATTAAATAGAGTTATATGAATCTAATAAATGCTGCAAAAGGTAATCTCTTCTCATTTTTGTCCAGTGATGCCTTCGATTTCTTTTTGCTAGTTTAAGTGACCTAATAGAGTAATAGATATGTATTTCTAGCTTTTTACCGGCTATCTACTCATTGGATCTCGAGAAGGGTGGTAATTTAATACGAAATGGATGAATTTTGACTTGATTTAATTTGATAAAGTTAAAATTTAAAAGAAAAATTCAATTTGAGTCAGATCATGTCAAATTTTATATAGGGGTCAAGTAATAATGAATTTTTATATCCTTATATACAGGGGTCATGTAATAATGAATTTTTATATCCTTATTAAGTGAAGAATGAAAAATGTCGGACTCAACTTGATCAAGAGGTAATAATGTAATTTTTATATAATTTTATGAATAAATGCTATAATACTTCCTCTCTATTATGTTTTAATTATGTCCTTATTTTACATTTTAATTATGTCCTTATTTTACATCCATATTGATCGGATCAGGTCATATTTATAGTCTAAAATTCGAGTTAGATCGAGTTGGTGTAGAGAAAATATACTCTTCATATCAAGTTAAGTGAAGCATATATATTTTTTTAGTCGAGTTAGATTGGGTGAAAGATATATATTTTTCGAGTCGGATCAGGTTAACACTAAAAACCCGATCAATTGCCATCTCTGGATCTCGGTGGTTGGGGAGACCCCCATGATTTCCGTATTCTGATAATCCATACATCCTTTGCCGATGTATGGAAACAGCTATCCCTCAAGCTCGGGTTTAGATTTGGCCCAAGTCAAAATCATGGTGTTAAAGAAAAAAAGAGAGTAAACTTTCTTTAATTCGTTGGTTTCTTAACATAATTTGAGAACGACATTTTGTCTTGTGATTCATAAAGAAAAATAGGTTGATTTACCATGCTCCATGGATTAATCTGCTTACACATACTGCTGATGCAGTGTCAAACTCATTTTGAACATTGTATATCTCCTCAACAAGGTCACATTTGTTGACCAGAGTTGAGCAATGCTGCAGTTCAAGAAATATTCACATTTTTTCTTACAATATTTATCCTCTTTTGTAAAAAGATAAAATTTAATTGCCAACCATACATTACCCGCACGCTTTTCTCGAACACCACAAACCTACACCGAAATGTTGAAATGGTTTTAACATACAAACAAGTAGCAAATGCCAATAAAATTCAGAGAAGTATACATTTTGGCCAACTGCCTTTACCATTAACAGTTCATAAAAAGTATAATAGAAAATGTGTAGCTTTCACACTGAATGAGGAGCTTAGCAAGTACATGTATATTCCCTGATTGAAATTTAGTAGAGAGAAAAGAAGCATTACTTAAATACTTATGATAGACTATATTAAAGAGGCTGGCATATGTATTTTGTGTTTAATATTAAAGTATATTTCCATTCTTACCTCTTGCAGTCCACTAGCAATTCTGGAGTATTTCTTGTCATGACTACGCTGGTAACCACTGGTGTCGATATGTTGAAGCCGGATCCTTTGATCTTGATTCCATGTCTTCCCATTTCCCTCAATAACAAGCCTGAAGAGGATTGTACAATAATAAAACACCAGCACAACAGAAAACCAAGAAAGATCAACATAAATTTGACAAAAGGAAAGTTCGTCTCACCTCCAGTAATCGCCAGTATCGGATTCGGGCTCTCCTCCATAGCAGCTAACCTACCCCAAACACCACAGGATAAAGTCACTATCAGTAACCAATTCTAGAAAAGCGCCACGGTTTACCAACATCAATGAACATTACCTTAAAATTTGACAAAGTTTGAGAAGTTCAAGTCAAGATCCGCCATGGAAACCGTCATAAAATGCTAACCTCTAGGTTTCCTGATATCGGAGATGCATACAGATGCCTATGCAGCCACTTTCTAGTCCTCATGTGTTGCAACCTAATAATTGCCCCATCAGGAATGATATCTCCTTGTTTAGCAGATGTATCAGGTTCAGGCCTAACAATCTGCATAGCATAGTCTCATATTTAATGGGATGCTGATGAACATAATCTGAGACGAATCAAGATTTTGACTGCAAAGTGTAAACGTCCAAACCTGAATTTAAACTTTCTCAAATTATATCAAGAAAAGAAATGTCACAAAACAATAGCACTGTCAGCTTAAACATGGAAATTGCAGAAACAAAGAATTTCATGTTCTTGAACCATATCACATGAGTTTTAAATGAAAAACACAATAATATAAGCACATGGTCAATCGTGATTGAAACAAAAAATAAAATGTTTACTATTAGCTTCGGATTTTTCATTGGTCCGGTAGATTAACCATCAAACAAGATTTTGACAAAACATTTGCAACATAAATGAAACTTTCGGAAACTACTTTAGAAGATCAGATCAAAGAAGAAAAAAACAGGTGGTAATAGAGAGACAAGAGAGTACCCAGTAGCTGCTGGAGTCATCTAAACTAGGAATTCTAAAGGAAGAGTTGGAATCGGGCTTTTTTGAGAGGGAGGGAAGTTTTCTTCGCCAATAATAAATCGACGTATGGATAAATGGTGACGTGGTTGGAACTAATGTTGACTTGACTCGATTGAAATCGAATTGAGTTGACCCGCTTTAGAGAACCTTTGGGCCAAATTTGGGTTTGAATCAATCAGATTTTGCGCTAAAGATATCCAATTAAATTATTTAATATATATTTTAAACAAATATATAAAATTTTTTATTTGTTTATATAACAAATAAGTACCTAAAGTATATCATCTTTTTCATTTCAGTACTTAAAATATTTTTTGTCAAAATAGGTACCTAAAATATTTTTGGTCAAAATAAATACTTAAAGTATTTTAATTTTTTCATCTAAGTACCTAAAGTATTATTTAATTAACGTCACATGTCAACTTTTTTAGAACTTAAATGAAAATTTTGAATGCCTTAGGTACCTATTTTGACGTAAAATACTTTAAGTACCTATTTTGACATATAATACTTTAGGTAACTATTTTGACTAAAAAGATAATTTTAGAAATTTATTTTGATAAAAAAATACTTAAATACTTAAATGAAAAATATTATACACTTTATACACTTATTTATGATATAAGCTTTTTTTTAATTTTATAACAATCATATAAAATATTTTTGTATATTTATATATTTTTAATTGACTAGTTTCTTCATGTGTCTGACTTGTGTATTTACGCATTTAGTTACTTTTATTTAATTATGGGTGAAATACGGAATTAATCACTTTTGTTTAAGTTTTGTATTTTTTTCATCACTGGATTTAAAAAGTATAATATTTATCTATTTTCGTTTTTATTTAATTAAGACATGATCATCGAGAGTTAATTGTTGTTGAACTTTTAACATATTACTAATGGCAGGCTTGTCCTAAAAGATGTAGAGGTCATGTGCTATTTTTTTAAAATGAAGCCCCTAAAATATTTTATAATAAAATAAAATTATAAAATATCAAAATTGATAATATAAACAGTGTTTCTTATAAAATAAAAAAATTAAACATATGAAACTATGATAATATCACATAACAACTTTTTAAACGTAATATTTTTTATTTAAAAAGTGTCATCTTCTGAATGCTCTTAGAAGCAAAATCAACATAATTATCATCATTGTCATTCAAATTAACAGAATCGTCATTCACAATAATTTTATCATCAACATTATTAATTTCAATAGAAGTATGTGGTTCCTTCCCAAAGAACTTATCAAGAATTCATATTTGAGATTGAGTTAACTCTTCTTGTTTCATTTTTTTCTTACGTTTTTCACATCCGGAATCATATTTTCTAATCACATGACTCATGATCAAATTCTTACAGAAAGAGATCAAATGATAAACTAAAAACCAAAAGGATAGAAAGAACATGAAAATTTAGAAGAATAAAACTTTGAAACAATCAAATTGCAAGTCTTCAACAGGACTATCAAATTGAAACAACCTTCAAATTCTCAAAATCTTCAAATTCCTCAATTAAAAATTCAACCTTCAAAACACTAATTAAAAGTAGTAGTAGGCATTTTCTTTCTTGAATTATAGATCATGAAGAAGATTGAAATTGGAATAAATATAAATAAGACTTTTTTCCGTTAGACGTCATGATTTTAGTGAGTTTTTTAGGAAGAAATGATTACAATTCATGAGATGATAAAAGAGAAAACTAAAAGTTTTTTTTTATCTTATCATGAGAATTAATAAAAGAATGATTAGGGATGGCACTAGTCAAGTTGAGTCGAATTTTTAACCAACCTGACTCCGACCAAAAAATTGATAGTCATCACCCGACTCTGACCCATCCCAATTTTTTAAGGTTTTCACCCACTCCAAATCCAACCTATAATTTAAGATGAAAATCCAATCCAACTCGAAATAAAATGCAAAAATTATATGAAAAATATTGCAACAAGACAACAACGAAAATTTTAAAGAAGATGCCAAAAACAAAATACTTGCAACAATGAATCCTTCGAATCTCAAACTTACTTGTAACCAAAATCTTAAATACAATCACAAATAATCTGAAATTTTCTGGGAATACCTTCTTATTTCACAAAATTTTACACTTTTTCTTTAAAAAAATGTAAAAATAAACAAATAATCAAAGAAAGTTTAATCTAATCCTAAAAAAATTTAAAATTCTATTTTTTAAGAGCAATTTTTTTTATCTCAAGAATGATTGAAAAAAAGAAAAAAGAAAAAGTAACAACAAAAGAAAAAGCAAAGAGTGAAAAAAAAATTCCGAACAAACGAATAAACTTGATTAAAAGAATGAACAAATAATAACAAAAAGAAAAAGAACAAATCGGGGAGAAGAGAATGTGAGAAGGAAACGGCAAAAGAGAATGAGGATGAAAAGTTAAACCTAAATTATATATATATAATGGCATTTTTATAAATATATTCATAGTATATATTAATTATTTCGGGTCAGATCGGGTTGAAGACTTTTTACTTTAAACCTGACTCTGACCTTAACCCGACTATATCTCTCTTAAAACCTGACCGACCCCCGAACCTGATTTTTGAAGAAAAAAATCTAGCCCTATCAAATCGAATCATGTCGAAACCCATCGGGTTTAGGTTATTTGCCCATCCCTAGGGATGATAGCATATTTTTTGAGAAAATAATTTTTTATTAGCTGATTTTTTAAGTATAGGACCCTATCGTATCACATTCTACACATGTAAAAGGACGGGCCTGACTAATGTGATATATTAAATACATAAAATTAAAAAGAATAAATTGTTAGAAGTATAACAATCCAAGACGATAAAATAAAAATAAAAAGAAATCCTATTAAATAATCAAAACAATAATGTAGAAATAAATACACCTTTTGATGGAGCAACTAATTGAAAACGAGTTGAGGCCTATAGCTACGCAGTTTCCTTAAGATAGATTTTCGGTCACTCCTATGGTGCTTGAGATCATTAGTCATCTGTCTCCGAGGATACAACAACCAGATGAACAACTACAATCACATTTCTGCAGAGATCACAAACTATTCTCTTGTCTTCATTTATTACCAAAAAACTATAAAAAGAATTCTTTTGAGTTGTTTTTGAGTTGTTTTTAATTGTGTTTAACCTAATAGGTTTACACAATATTTATAGGGATTTCATATTGCGAACAATTGGGAATTTTTGGCCTAATGAGAATCAACCATCAATGAGAATCAACCATTAGTGAGAATCAAGCAACCAAGCAATTTCCAAAATTATTGTTTCGATTAAAGGAACCTTTTAATATTTATCATTTTAATTCCAAAAAAAATTCTGAAAAGATATGCTCTATTTGAGGACAATATTTCACATTTGGGTTAAAATATGTGTCGTAATTGTCCTTCAGGTAGGCCCTAAATCAGGTTTTGATTTAAATTTAACGTGTTAGAGTCGCCACCAATCATTTAAAACTAGGTTGACCGAACACCTTACCTTACCATTTACCAAATTTGCGTTTTACCAGACATTAAATGGATTTAGGAGTCGATTACAGTCAAGGAAGGATTAGCATCCGTGTACTGCCCTTTCGGTACCAATTTAATTTTCTTATTGTCTTAATTGTGAAAATTAAAAGTTAAATTAAAATTTAAAAGCTCGATCCAAATTACTTACCTTTGAAGAATTTCGAAATTGACCTAAAAATAAATCAAATTAATTGAAATAATAAAATAAAAATAAATAAATAAAAATTAAATAAAAGAATTAAAAGAAAAAAATAAATTAAAAGCACCAAATTGAAAAGAATTAAAAAATCAAGGATCAAATTGAAATTAATTAAAAGTAGCAAGAAGAAAATAATAAGTTAGGGGGTCAATTTGCTAAATATAAAAAATATAAATAGGGATTAAATTGAATTAATTCAAAATTCAAGGGTGAATTTACAATAGGTGACCAAAATGAATTACACATAAAAATATCAAGGACTACATAAATAATTTAAGAATTTTCTATTTACACAATGGTCCTCCTTAAATAAAACCCTTCAAACACCCAAAAACCTCATTTCTCACCTTATTCCAATTTTAAACTCCACCACTTCTCCGAAAATTCTCTCAAACCTCTCCATACACCGGCCAATGGCTGACCCACTCACCATCGTAGCCCGTCTCCCGTCCATAGCTCCGGCCACCACCCCTGGTGGCAAAAAAAAAAAAAACTAGCCTAAAACGCTCTCCCCAACCCAATGACCACAAAATCAGAAGCTATTCGTCCTAAAAAGGACCCTACAAGCGTAAATCTAGATTCAAAATTCGATTTTTACCTTTAAATTGATGACTCTTCGAATACCGACATCTTTCCTTTTCCGATGAGACTCCTATACATTTCCGACGAAGGCTTTCAATATTTTTATGATTTTTTCCTTGGTTATTTGCTTGTTTTGCTGTTTGATGTGGCTATGTATGGTTTGTTTACACTGCTCATATTTCTCTCGTTTTTTTCTTGTTCACTATATCTTGCTCGGCTTTTTCGGAGGTTTTTTTATAGCCTCAGATCCTACTATTGTAGTCTCGAAAGA